CCCTTCGTTCCGAGCGGGAGAATGACCTGTCAATGGCGAGGGCTAAGAAGGACCAACTTGATGAGAGGATCAGGGAGTTGGAAAAGGAAACCTCCGTTCTTTATGATCGAGGTCCCACTTTGGAGGTCGAGAAGGCCCAACTGCTTGCACGACCTTCTTCATCTAATGCTTCTGGCTTCCCTAACGTCCCCTGTGAGATGTATGAAGAGTGGATTCATGACGAGGCCCAACTGGATGTGTTTCGTGAATTGCATGCGATCGGCTCCATTTTTGGGGCAGCCTTTGATGATGCTCGGGTTAAGGCTCACTAGGTTCGGCTTGCTTATGGATATGACCCTACTATGTCTCTAGAGATGAGGATGAGTATGAGAAAAATGCCATAGATCGTCTTGAGGAGGACACCTGGTATGAATCTACTTACCCTCAGGGTGAGAATGGAGAGGATGCTGAAGGCCGGGATAGTGATGGTGTCGATGGTCAGGGTGATGATGTTGCCAGAGGTCAGGTTGATGAGGATGTTGAGGGTCGTGGTGGCGATGGCCAGTAGTTCTTTGTTTACCCTTTTTTGTGTTTTTGTTTGGCGTCTCCAAGAGCCTTTGTAACAACTTCTTATCTATGAATATCAAAGTTGATTTTTGCTTTCATTTGTGCCTTTCTTACTTACCATGATTTGTTTCTCTACTTGCATGTTTTACTCCTTTATATTTTTTGTTGTCATCCTCTAGCTGACTGTAGTCCTTGGGCTGAAAAGCCATAGGACAAATCGTCCCTTTGTCTATATAAATCAAGTATGTCTCCTTAGTTTAGATATGGTCGAGGACCGATAGATGTTGTTCGAACTTAGTCGATATTAACCTTTTATTAAATCGTGGCCGGGGACCGGTAGGTCTTTGTTCGAACTTGGTCAAATTTAACCTTTTGTTTGGTTGAATTTAACGTTTTATTGAGACGTGGATGAGGGCAGATAGACATTTATTCGAGCTTGCTCAAATTTTGTCCTTTTCTTATGTTGTGCCCGAGGGCCAGTAGGTGTTGTTTGAACTTGATCGAACTTACCCTTTTGTTAAATCATGGTCTAGTGCCGGTGGGTGTTGTTCGAACTTGGTTGAACTTACCTTTTTGTTAAATTACGGTCGAGGGCTGGTGGGTGTTGTTCGAACTTGGTCGAACTTACCCTTTTGTTAAATCGCAACCGAGGGCCGGTGGGTGTTATTCGAACTTAACCTTTTGTTAAATCGCGGTCGAGAGCCGATGGGTGTTGTTCGAACTTGACAAACTTGCCCTTTTGTTAAATCACGGCCGAGGGTCGGTAGGTGTTGTTCGAACTTGGTCGAACTTAACCTTTTGTTAAATCACGGCTGAGGGCCGGTAGGTATTGTTCAAACTTGATTGAACTTAACCTTTTGTTAAATCATGCCCGAGGGACGGTAGGTGTTGTTCGAACTTGGTCGAACTTAACCTTTTGTTTAGATAATTTTGATAAACGTAAGTTTCTATTACTTAGACGTTGTTTCTCTAATTACATAATTGGAGAAAGTTACAAACTTTGGGCATTGGCTGGCGTTCCAGTCCCGGTCTATTTAGTCCATTCATTGTTCGATTTGGAGAGTCTTGAGGAGTCGGACAATGAAAGAAAAATCAGTCCGTTCTTCATATACTTCGACTTGAAGCGTCCCTTCCATCGCCTCATTAAAAACCTCCTTGAGAAAATCCTAATGGGACAAAAATCATGTGAGGGAAAGAGAGTACGACTTGGGGGCTCTTCTTACTTTTAGAAGTTGAAGTATTTGAGGTGGCTGATATTTCAATTGTTTGGTAATTATTTTCCATCCATTTTCTCTAGTTGGAATGAACCCTTGTTTACTTTGGCGATAATTTTGTACGGACCATCCCAGTTTGTTCCTAGTTGTCCTTCTCGTGTATCTCTGCTTGCTTGGGTTTTGGCTTTGAGTACGAGTCTCTGACTTTGAGTGACCAGACCTTTGCGTTCTTGTTGTAGTAACGTTCCGCTTGCTGCTTTTGGGCGACCATTCTTATGTATGCCATGTCTCTTCATTCATTGATCTTATCGAGCTCTTGCCTTCTACTCTCGTCATTGCTAGTACCGCTTTCATAGGAGTACCTTAGGTTGGGCTCTTCAACCTCGACTTGCATAACTAGTTCGATTCTGTAGACTAGAGAATAGAGTGTCACTCTTGCGCTTGTCTTTGGGGTGGTTCTATATGCCCATAATACTTCTAGGAGTATTTCTGGCCACTGTCCCTTGGCTTCTTCGAGTTATTTCTTCATGATGTTTAATATGCACTTGTTGAAGGATTCTGCCAGCCCGTTGCCCACCGGATGATAAGGGGTTGAAAGTATCTTCTTAATGTGCCATTTCTCGAGGAATTATGTGGCTTTCTTTCCCGTGAACTGGGGTCCGTAGTCGCAGCTGATCTCCTTAGGTAGGCCGAATCGGCAGATGATGTTTTTCCATATGAGGGCGATTACCTCTTGTTCGTGTATTTGGGCGAACACTCCTACTTCTACCTATTTAGAGAAATAGTAAGTTAAAACTAAAATAAATCTCACATTACCTCGCCCTGCCATGAGGGGGCCCACGATGTCCATTCCCCACTTGATGAACGACCATGGAGAGGTGACTGAGTGGAGATGTTCTCCTGCTTGGTGAATTATTAGGGCGTATTTTTGACATTGTTCGCATTTCTTCACAAATTCTGAGGCGTCTTTTTTCATGATGGGCCAGTAGTATCCTGCCTATATGAGGCACCTATCGAGTGCTCGATCACCATAATGAGTGTCACAGTGGCCTTCATGAACTTTTTTAAGAACGCATTGGGTTTGGTTTGGACCCAAACACTTCGCCAAAGGGCCGCCGTATGTTCTCTTGTATAAGTCGTTATGAAGGAGGATGTATCTGGCTGCTTGCATTCTTAGTTTTTTAGCTTACTGTTTATCATTTGGGAGTGTGCCTTCCCGCAAGTTGGTGATAATACAATTGCGCCAATTCCAAGTTAAACTTACAGATCTTACCTCGATTTGTTCTAACGATGAGTTGAGGTGGTGGACCACTTTTATCTCCAGTTGTGGTGCTTTTGGTGGCTCCGGCCAGTTTGGCAAGGCCGTCTGCTTCAGCATTCTGGGCTCGCGGGATCTGGTCGAGCTGGCATTCGTCAAAATTGGGAAGCAACTTACGGATCTTAGTTTGATATTTTTGTAACCTCTGTTCTTTGATTTGGAAAGTCCCTATGACTTGGTTGACTACGAGCTATGAGTCACAATGGAGTTTCAACCGCTTCGCCCTATATTTGAGTGCTAATCTCAACCCTACAATTACGGCCTCATACTTGGCCTCGTTGTTAGTCATATTAGGGCACCTTATGGACCGGCAAATTACTTTGCCAGTAGGGACCTCGAGTACGAGTCCCAGTACGGATCCAGAAGAATTGGATGCGTCGTCGGTGTATAGGACCCAGAGGTCTTGTGTTTGAAGAGAAGCTAGGGCGGCTTCTCTCTCGACCTCATGCATTATCTTTGCGTTGAAGTCTGCAACGAAGTCGGCGAGCACTTTTGACTTTATCGCTATTTGAGGCTGATATGTGATGTCGTGCTCTCTTAGCTCGATGGCCCACTTGGCCAGCCTCCCCGACAATTCGGGTCTATGTAGAATGCTTCTTAAAGGAAAGGTGGTAACAACCGAGATAGGGTGGCACTGGAAATAGGGTCTAAGCTTTCGTGAAGCTACGACTAGTGTCAGGGCTAGTTTCTCGAAGTGTGGGTACCTCATCTCGGCGTTGACGAGTGTTTTACCAATGTAAAAAATGGGAGATTGCGTACCTTTATTTTTTCGGACCAGGACCGCACTTACTGCCACCTCGATATAAACCTCGATAGGATAGCGATTCAACCAGTCAACCTTTGGACCTGCTTCTTAGTAGTCAGTTGTTCAGGTATCCCTTTGATAGATTTGATTTGGTTTGGGTTGACTTTGATCCATCTCCGTGACACTAAGAAACCCAAAAACTTTCCCGAGTTTACGCCAAATGCACATTTCTATGGGTTTAGTTTCATATCATACCGTCTTAGTATGTCAAAAGCTTTGCTCAAGTGGTCGATATGGTCTTCTGCCATTACGGATTTGACTAGCATGTCGTCGATATATACTTCTATGGTCTAAGCCGAGTTGGTCATTGAACATTCTTATGACCAACCTCTGATAGCTGGCTCCTGCGTTCTTCAACCTGAATGGCATGACCCTATAGCAATATGTTCCTCTGTGGGTGATGAACGTGGTTTTCTCCTGGTCCTATTCTTCCATGAGTATCTAGTTATAGCCCGAGTATGCATCCAGGAAACTTAGTAGCTCTTGCACGGCCGTTGCATCGATGAGTTGGTTGATGTGTGGCAACGGGAATGAATCTTCCGGGCATGCCTTGTTTAAGTCTTTGAAGTCTACACACATCCTCCATTTCCCATTTTTCTTTTTGACCATAACCACGTTGGCTATCCACTTGGGGTATTTCGACTCCCTGATTGAGCCATTTTCTAGTAGCTTTTCTACCTCCTCGTGGACAAAATCATTGATGGTGGGGTTGAACTTTCATTTGACCTGCCTTACAGGGGGATAGAATAGATCGACATTCAACTTGTGTGTGGCGATCTCCTAGGGGATGCCCGGCATATCTACATGGCTGAAAGCAAACAAATCTGCGTTAGTTATTAAAAATGGACTAAATTTACCTGGTTCTCGGAGTTTTTTAGCTGATGTAGGCCTTTTTTCCGAGGTTGCTGGGATCTAATTGAATGAGGTCGAGGTCCTCTATAGTTGATTCTGCGGCTTTAACCATTTTTGGGTCCGAGATGACGTCCCTGGTCTCTTCTTGTGTCGACCTTGACCCTGTTGATTGCTATGCTTCTTTTTTTCTTTCTTTTGTTGGGTCATCGAGCCATCCATGGCGATGCGGTAGCATTCTCGGGACGTGGCGTATGCTGAATATTCCCTAAGGTGTTGGCAACTTGATCATTTGGTATAAGTTGGAGGGGGCTGCTTCCATGGGATGTATCCATGGTCGTCCTACTATGGCATTGTATGTGGTGGCCTGGTCCATGATGTGGAACGTTGTCTCCATAGTTATGCCACCAGTGAGGATGGAGAGTGTAATTTCTCCTGAGGTCCATTCAACTGCATTGTTAAAACCGGTTAGTGTGATATAGTATGACACTATCTTGTGCCCGAGTCTCATCTGGGTGAGGACTCGGGGATGGATAATGCATGTTCCACTCCCATCACTCACCATGATACGCTTAAAATCAGTATCTAAAATTCGTAAAGTAATGACAAGAGCATTGTTGTGAGGGAAAGTCAAACCGTCGGCATCTGACTCGTCATAAATGATACTTTTTTCGAGTCTGTCATACCGTTCGTAGGTGATCAAACTTTTGAGCTTGTGAGTGGCGGTGAACTTGATACCATTGATGGCGGCATCGTCGTTGCCGTTGATAATCATATTGATGGTGCAGGCCACTGAGGGTGGCTTCGGCGGGCCCTGATATTCTCGACCCCTGGTGAAGGTGTTCCTTCACTTGTTGCTCAGCAGCTCTTTGAGGTGTCCTTGCGGTAACGTGTTCACGACCTCTTGCCTTAGGGCGATACAATCTTCTATCTTGTTCCTGCGTTCCTTGTGGAATTCGCAGAGGGTGTCGGATTTTTTGGTACTTGGGTCGGACCTCATCTTTATATGTGGTACTTGTTGTTTAGCAGCTCTCAGAGACTGCCATGCTATGGTGGAGAAGGAAGATGGCCGACGTGGATAAAGGTCTATGTACTATTAGCACGTGGGATCAGTTCAAAGCCGAGTTCAAGCGACAATTCTTTCCAAACAATGTCTTGTACGAGGCAAGGCACAAGCTTAGGGAGTTGAAACAAACAGGGAGCATACGTGACTATGTCAAGGATTTCACTACCCTTATGCTTCAATTCCCAAACCTGACCAATGATGACTTGTTGTTACACTTCATGGACGGTTTACAAAATTGGGCTAAGCAGGAATGGCAACGCCGGCAAGTCGCGGATATAGACCAAGCCATAGTGGAGGCCAAATCTATTACACCCCATGTTTTCATACGTAAAAGTATGTCGCAAGTCAATTGATGTAAGCTCAGAAATGAGATCATATTTGAAAGTACATAAATTAAGTTAATCATGTTAACTTGGACGTTACAAATACTTATGATCATGAACTGCAAGTACCAAGAGGGTTGAAAGGCTTAGAAGCTAAACAAATTGAAGAAAATAAGTTTTGTCGAAAATTGACAAGTTGGGAATGTTATAACATGTAATTTTGGGGTGAGACTAGGGTGACTAACATGATAAGGAGGTTATGTTATGAGTTATTTTAGTCTTATGATTGTCGTGTGTTATGTTTTGATGTCAAGCGACAAAAGTTGGCAAAGGTCATCACAAGTTACATTCATAAATATGTTGAACATTAGGTCAAATGTAGCTGAAATTTTCTCAAGCATACTTAGAGTTACGGGGTGATCCACCCATCAAATTGAAGATATATGAGTCTAGTTTCTAACGCATTAAACCGTTTGTGAATACGACATCGTAGTAAAGAGATATATGTATTTTGACGAGACTGCATAGACTGCACAATTGACAAGTAGGTTTGTCACTTACTTGCTTAAATTAGAGGACTAAATATGTCCCAAAAGGGGATATTTTGGGTCGTCCAAAGAGCCCTTTTAAGGGCTTATTTCCTTCATATTTTACACCCACTATAGAGCTTAAAAACTAGAGATAAACCCCTGCAAAATTCTCCCACAAATTAAACACAAACCCTTATTGGTTTTCTCTTCTTTTCAAGTTCTAGTTGGAGGAAAAAACCTAAGGGTTGAAGAACCAAGATAGGAACTGAGATATTCATCAAATAAGGTAAGTATACTACTCTCTTACATTTTTTTTTCTGGTGGAAAAGTATAGATATTCGTTCTATAATTGTAAGAACTCACGGGACACTGATTGGATTGTGTTGTTGTTGGATTGTGTGTTTTGATACTGTTTTATGGAGTTTTGGAGGAGAAAGGGTATGAATAAACACCACATAAAGGTGGAGTGGTTGGCTGGTCATTCATTGTGTGATAGTTGTACCTTTCGTAACTTGGTGATAGTATTGTTATCGTTGTTGTAGATTAAGGGGAAACGAGACGAGTTCACCGTGGTTATTCTACAGATTATGATAAGGTTTGTTAAGGCTAAACCTTTCCTTCATTATGGAATGATCCAGTAACTACATGTGTTTGATAACGAGACATAAAGTGAAGTTCATATTCTTGAATTTATGTACATTGTCCTAGTCTCATAAGTTACAGTATTCTCCCTTATTGGGACTTTATATTCAGTTAAGTATTGTCTNAGGCTCCTATTGGGAAACCTCTGATGAGATGGTAAGTTATACACTGAGCCTACTATGGCTGAGCGCCTATGAGCGAGCCTAGAATGGCCGAGATACTTAGCCTAGTATGGCCGAGCGCCTATGAGCGAGCCTACTACAGAAGAGCAGTTACACATACCGAGCCTTATAGGGCCGGGCAACTATTTTACTTACTATATTGAGGGAGTCGAGTCAGTATCAGCAGGTAAGCATATCTTCAGATTATCTTTGACTTCAAGTTACTTTTAGTTATTATATTATCAGTTCAGTTTCAGCTTTCGGTTATTCTGGTGCCTTACATATTCGGTACATTATTACGTACTGACGTCCCTTTTGTCGAGGATGCTGCATTTCATGCATGTGTGTCCTGATAGATAGCTGGATAGACTTTCCCAGTAGACAGAGTCAAACATCAGCTTGGTTTGTAAGCTCCACCTCCTCGAGGTTACCAGGTCTAGACCTTGGAGTCCATTTTATATATACTGGTTTGATGGGTAGGTCGAGGCCCTGTTCCGACCATAATACAGTTCAACTATCTCTAGAGGCTTGCAGACGAGTCTTGTATAACTTTTTATCAGTATTGTGGCCTTGCCAACCCTGTGTATATGTTAGTTGGTATTGCTAGTTGTAGACATTCATGGTGGACTTGTCGGCCTTGATTTGCAAGGTAGGCCTCGTCGGCCTAAGTTGAGAGTTACCTCTCAAGAGTTCATAGTTATAGAGTGGTGCGCTTGGGCCAAATATGGCACCGGGTGCCGGCCACGCATCCCCAGGTTTGGGGCGTGACAAATGTGGTATCAAATCCTCTCTATCCTAGGAAATTTACAAGTCGTGTCTAGTAGAGCCTTGTTTATAGATGTGTTGTGCACCACATTATATAGACAGGAAGCTACAAGGCATTTAGGAGTCTGTTACCCTTCTTTCAAATCTAAATCGTGCTATAGAGCTGAGTCATAAGAGTTCAAGCCAAGACTTATGTTTGCTAATGATATAGAGATGCTTGCAATTAGAAAAATTACAACTAACCAGAGGGCTAATACAGCAGCAGGCAAGGGCACTGGTAGAGAGAGAATTCTTGACAACGTGGCCTAGATTGAGGCCCTATCAGATTATGCATACCAGATGTGCAAATTTCTACCTCAAGACCCTAAGATGGGAATATCAAACACACCCCGTGAATAGCAGGCCATGGGAGTATCAGAAGGTAAAAGTATAAGTTTCAACAGGTAAGAGAAGCAAGGTGAAGGAGGGTACGAGGTACCCAATTAGTGAAGATTATCGGTATTTACAATTCAGGTAGAGAAATATAAGTATTTTGAGTTACCTTTAATAGTAATAGAGGTATGTACAATTGGCCACACCCATCTCAGTTATGCCCTATGGAAGCTAACAAATATAGTTTAAGAGAAGGATGGGATATCAGGATCCAACTGGGGTTAGAGTAATCCAAAATGGTGGATAGAATGTTAGCGTTAGCTGACATTTCCGAAGGATATTTCAAACATGGTAATAGTTCTCCTTGGGAGATACCCAGATGGTGCACTCTAGAATAGTATAGTTAGATATGAATAATAGAAGGTTCAAAAAAATTGAGAAGGTAGGCATTGGCATCCTAGAAGGGATAAATATTTACTTTAGTATGATTCTCATCCCTAGTAAAGAGAGAATGTTAGGCGACCCGAAGAGCCAGTGAGATGGATCAAGGGTAGCTAAAGTGAAAGAATATTTCGTTGATGTTTTCACAATAAGGTAATAGTCAAAAATATTAGCAGGAGAATAAGAAGAGAGCCATTGAAGCATTATAAGTAAGATGTGATAAATAGGTGATAACGGTAAATCAAATATGACAAGATGATAGAGTCTATAGTCAAGTGAAGGAAAAGACAAAGGAGATAGGCCTTGAGACTATAAAAGAGTATAAGTCGTAAAGTCATATCCGCATTTTGAGAAAGGAGTTAGTGACTCTAACGTGATTACTAGAAGGAAAAGTTAGAGCCCCGGAGTAATAGAAATCAGTATGGGCTAGTGAACAAGATAAACTGAAAATGAATTAGGGATCAAAAGATTTGATAATAGTCTACATTGTGAGAGTTTCAGAGACCGTGTTCCGGCAATAATAGAATGGACAACAGAAGAGTATCCTTTAACAGTTATTCAGGAAGATGCATCCCTAAAGCAAGAACTGTGAGTAGAGTTAAGCTTAAGGGACTAAGTATACCCGTTACACTAGGTGTCACCCGCGTGCGTAAGAAATTCAGTTATCCTTGGTACAGAAGGGTTACCGCAAGGCGAGTAAGAGTCAGTGAAGATGTGAAAAGACGCCAAAGATGAATAGGTAAAACATATATAGATAAATCTTCACATCATTAAATGTTTGTACTCCCCTAAAGGGGGAAAAATGGTGTGATATGGAATTATGTCGGAGTTAAGTGGATAAGATAACTATAGAATAGTAAAGGAATAATACGGTAAAAAGGAAAAAGGAATGAGATAGCATTTATCTAGATCCTACAGATATGTTACGACTCCAGAAAATTATGCAAGCACGACACCATGGAGGGGCAGTAAGGGTTCCCGCATAGGATTTTAGTGATAAATAAGTGCGAATGAACACTTGATACATAAGGAGCCAGTACGAGAGGTAAGTTAAGATAAAGGAAACAACCCAAGAGAGATTACGCGGAATAGAGCTATGAGAATGGACCAACGAGTAGTTAGTAGTTGATTCGGGAAGAGCCTAGTTATGGCTAGACAAGAGGATACAGAAAAATCAGCAGATCATGCAAGATAAACGTAGTGTTACATCTCGCGTTTTTCGTACATTAAAGTTTCGTCTTCAGTTAATTGACGTAGACACGGGGATGAGATTTTCTTGAGATTATAAGAATTATGCTATTTCAAACACGTGATGAGTAAATTCGTGAAGGAGAGAAGGTAAGCAAATAGAAGAAAATGAGTTTCATCGAAGTTTGGCAATTTGGGGTAAAATACGGTCCAAGCTATAATACCTCGTATTTATGGACTAGTGCCATATAAGGTACCATATGACCATGATAGTATGATGTATAAAG